GTCCTCTCACCATGGGCTTTATTAGTTGTTGTTGTTTTTTAACATGCTGCTGTACCCACCCCAGCTATTTTTTCCCTGAAATGCTCCATGCAAAAGTTCGGTTTTAGCTGAGCGCTGCCAGAGTTTCAGTTCTGAGCATAGTGAGGTGAGGTAAATTTAGAATTACCCTTTTCTGCTTGGGCTTTAGACACATCGGGCTAGATGCACAATAGGATTGAGGCACCTAACTGCCACTTTAAGTACCTAAATCCCAGAAACAGGCCCCACTGGGATGCACAAAGCCCCCGCTTGGCTGCCCCCAAATGCCATAGGTGATGTCTACACTGCATTGTAATCCTGGGTCTGTGGGATCCGGGCTTTTGGACTCAGTGTTTCCAAGCCTAGACTTTTGCAGTAAAAGTTCCCTAGGTGCCTATGTTTCACCTCCGAGCATGCGCACGGCCACCTCATGCCAGGCGGCTGGCCCCAGACCCCTAGCACCGTGCACAAACTGAGAGAAGACAGCTGTTCCTCACCTAACTCTCCTGCGGGACCTGAGCCCATAAAAGTGGTCAGACCTCACCTCCTGGAGCAGGCCCCTAGAGGGTGAGCTTACACAAACAGCCAGAGGAAGAGGTGATGCTGGTACCCACCTTATAACTTTCAGCCCAGTGGTTACAGCACTCTCCTAGTATGTGGGAGACCCCAGTTCAAGTCCCACCATTGCCTGCAGAGAAGAGGTCTGAACAGGGATGTGTCCCCTCTCCAGCATGTGCTCTATCCACTGGGCCAAGGGGTGTTCTGATATGCGATGCCCTCAGTCTTCAGCGCTGTATAAATGATGAAGTGGGGAGAGCAATTGTGTAGGCTGCTGGTTAGAGCTCTGCCCTGGGAGCTGGCTGGCCCAGTGCTCCAGTGACTTTTTTTTAATAATCCAGGGTGGAACAGCTTCAACAGGGGAGACTGGGGCAGCCCCACATCAGGATATCCCGTAGCCCAGGGGTGAGGACGCCCCTCTGAGAGGTGGCAGATCCCAACTCACATCCCTGCTTCCCCTCAGGACTTGACCCAGGTGTCTCCCACTGTAACCACTGGGCTGAAAGTGAGAAGGTGAACAGTGACATCATCACCTCCTGCTACAATGACATAGGTGCCTAATGCCTAGAGAAGTTTGCAGCTGAGAGTCCCAAGCTCAGGCAGGCGCCTCCCGGCAGCCCAGACTTTAGGCGCCTATCTCTGAGAGGAGAGGGGCTTATCATGTATCCTTCTCCTTGGCCTCCCCATTGGCTAGCTGAGGCAGCTCCTCGCCTAGTGTGTTGGCTTTTATGAATCCCATTCTGAGGCGCCCGTCTCTCTCCATTCATGGTAGAGGGAGCTCAGGTGTTGTGAATCCCAGTGATTGTCCAGGTGCCTAAAAGTTAGGCCTGGTGATGCTCAGTGGCACCATGTCTACTTTTCCTTATGACTCTAACCCATGCTGGGCATTGTTGGATTCAGCGTGGCACTGCCAAGTGTGTGTCGGCTCATCTCCTTAAACATGCAGCACATTTACACCCGTCTGGCCGGTAATGGCAGCTTCAGCTGTACAGCTTGGCACTGCAGTTATTGCCCGTTGTCCTGTCTCAAGTAAAGAGCGGTCTCGCGAACGCGTGCAAACCACTGCTTGTTCAGCTTCACGTCTTTATCTCCAGGTCACTCTATTTGACTTGATTGGCTTGAAGCTCAATTGATAAATCTAATCTGGCTTCACTATCCAGGTAAGTATCTGGTCAAAACAGATTGCTCAGAAGCTTACGGGGCCATTCAACAACTCATTATCTCCATGACCCACCAGAGTGCTGCTCTGCAAGCACCTGGGATGCATTAGTTGTCAGGACTGTCAAGCTGTCTGTGAGATAATTATCAGGCTACACAGGACAGCCTTCTGTATTACAGGGGGTGATTCACTGATTGGGTGGGCTTAAGTTGGCCTCCTGCACAGGGATGGATTTCGCTCCGGGAGGCATCTCTTCCCTAACGAAACCTCAGCATCTGGTGACATTTTGTGAATGTGTGCGTATGGAATGTGCAAAGGGAGGTCTCGAATGCGCTGCAGAAGGAAGGAAGGGGAAAGCCCACATTCAGTACAGGATAGTTCCAACCGCCCCATTACTTCTTAGATTCTGTATGACCCACCGCACGTTTGGGTGCCATCCTTGTGTTATTACAGAAATGGAAGGGACCTTGAGAGGTCATCAAGTCCAGCTCCCTGCACTGAGGTAGGGCCAAGGAAACCTAGACCATCCCGGGCAGGTGTTTGTCCAACCTGTTCTTAAAAACCTGCCATGACGGGGATGCTCATATCATTATTGTGTGTGTTCATCTAGAAACAGAAGGGGGGAAATATCCCTTCACTGCTCTATATTGAACCACCTTGGGCTGCCTACAGGCAACATCAGAGGCATAACCAAGCCCCCAGATTATGACTTGACTTTCCCACCACTCTGCATCTCTGTAGCACACGTCAGCATCTGTCTTTCTGCTGCTCCTATAGGCCAGGGGGCTCTTTTTGTACGATACACGGTCAATAAAAAGAACCAGCTAACCATTATTGGCCTGATTCTGACATAACTGCAGAAGACCTACTCCATAGGATATCAGGGTTGGAAGGGACCTCAAAGCAGGACTAATTCCTGGACATATTTTTACCCCACTTCCCTAAATGGCCCCCTCAAGGATTGAACTCACAAGCCTGGGTTTAACAGGCCAATGCTCAAACCACTGAGCTATCCCTCCCCAGGGAGAGGTCAATAGTCTCTTTTATATGGGTAAAAATCACCATTTCATAATTCAAGTCTCTTTTTATGACGGTTATGGAAATTAGACTAGGAAAACAAGGAATGTGGGTAGCACCCAATTTGTAGTGTGTGCAAGTTTCGGAGTGGGCAGCAACTTACAGGGACACTTCAAACTCACACTGCTGTCTGAAGACGTTTTGCCTACGATTGTTACATACAAGTATTATGATTTTGTATTAGCGCGGCACCTAAAGTCTTCAAAAGAAACCGCGGCCCCATTGTGACGGTGCACACACGGAGTAAGAGACAGCCCCTGTTGTGAAGAGCCTACCCTCGAAATAGACCAGACAAAGGGTGGGGGGAAGGGAAGCATTATCAGCCCTTTTACAGATGAGGCACAGAGACACTAACTCATTGCCCAAGGTCACACAAGAAGTATGTGGCAAAGTCAGGAATCGAACCCAGGGATGAGACCCTTGTTGCCACTTTACACCTGATAAAAGGGCTGGAGCAGCATAAAGAGGCTCTAAGCGTACGTCTACACAGCAGCTAGACACACGCGGTTGGCCTGTGCCAGCCAATTCGGGCTGCGGGGCTGTTTCATTGCTGTGGAGACTTCCGGGCTCGGGCTGGAGCCCAGGCCCTGGGGCCCTCCCACCTCACAGAATCCTAGAGCCCGGGCCCCATCTTGCGCCTGGATGCCTACATTGCAATGAAACGGCCCCATGAGCCCAAGCCAGCCTGCACAGGCCAGCCACAGGTTTTCCATTGCAGTGGACACATACCCTCTCAGCCCCGGTTCTGGCTGCCGGAGAATCGCCCGACTAACGCACTGTGGAAGACAGCTGAAAAACAGCCTTCCACTTACCCACTCATGAGCCCCAGTGGAGAGGGGCACCGGGGCCGAGCTGATGGTGGGAGGGGCGTGTCAGGAGAAGGGCCACACTGCGACAGAGTTTCCAGGTAGCACTGCAGCCCTTAAGGCAGCCGCCCTGGGAGGTCCCCAGGGCTCTCTAAACTATGTCAGGAGCTGCAGGGCAGTTAAGGATCAGAGGGCACAAGGTTGGCTTTAAAGCCACCATCGCCCCTCTCCCGTGGGCTGCAAGGTCTCTTAGAGACACTGCTTAGGACTCACCCCAGATCTCTTCAGTGCCGTAACCATACGGCCATCTTTCCCCTTCACCTAAGGTGACTATCTCCAGAGCACTTCTGGTCGCGATTCCCCCTTCCTTCTCCCTCCCCCTCCCCCCCGGTCTGCTGTATAGTCGGAGAGTCAGTCTATTGCCCCTGTAGTATGTGTGGACGTCCCACGCAGCAGCAGCAGACAGGAAAACGTTGCTTAAAAAATAGGAAAGTCAGACTTTGTGTGTGAGCTGGGACGAGCCCCGTACCCTCTCCGGGCCTGAGTTCCCCATCTGTACAAGGACAGTATCACTGCCCTGCCGCACCGGAGGTTTGTGGGGATAAATACAATAGAGATTATGAGGAAGGCGACTATTTTGTCATGCAAGTTGCAGAAGTCATGGAATCAGTGATTGTTCCAGAGACCTCCGTGACTTCAACCCACGGCGGGGCGGCGCTGTGGTGTCCCCTGCTGCCCGCGGTGGCTCGGAGCCCCCCGCCGACCGCGGCAGCTGGGAGCTGCAGAGTATCCCCACGGGCAGGGACCCCCGCAGCTCCGAGCCACCGCGGGCAGCAGGGCCCCCCACAAATCGCAGCTGCAACAGGCAGCCGGGGCTCCCAGAGCTCCAAGCCACGGGCGGTGGAAGGACCCCGCAGCTCCAAGCCACGGGCGGCTGGGGGACCCTGGGAGCTCCCAGCCGGGGCCCCCGCAACTGCCCAGCTGCCGCGGGTGGTGGGGGACCCCAGAGCCCCAGCAGCAGGGATGGGTGCTGGAGCCTTCTCCCTCCCAATTTTGTCATGGATATTTTTAGTAAAGGTCACAGACAAGTCACGGGCTTCTGTGAATTTTTCTTTATTGCCCGTGACCTGTCCGTGACTTTTACTAAAAATCCCCATGGCAAAATGGGAGCCTTAATTATGAGGTGCTCCGGTCCTGCGGTAACGGGGGGGTTGTAGAAGCACATAAGCTAGATTGTAAAACCCCCAACGTTAGCAAAGGAGACTCTGGGTCATTGCAGAACCCGGAACTCCCTCTTTTGAAATGGACTCGATTTCAAGTTGACAGCATCCCCGTTAGCAGGTTCCTTCCGAATACTCACACCCTTCCCTCTCTCCCCTCAGGTCCGCTCAGCCGCGAGAAAACGCTGGCATCGCTGGCAGGACCACCACGCCCTGCGCGTGCGCGTGGCCCGGGCTATGTCGATCCCCACCTCCCCGACGAGAATCAGCTTCCACAGCATCAAACAGACGGCGGCAGTTTGACCACGCAGACGTCCGGGCACCTTCAGAGTTTTTCCCTCTTCCCCCTTTTTGTCTGTCTTGCCTCCTTTTCTCGGCACTGTGCTCTTGCAGCGAGACGCCCCCTTGTGTCTTGGTGGACATTTGTCCATTTATATATGATGCTGCTTTAAGGCAACCAGCCAAAAATATAACACAGAAAGGAGCGCGGGAGGGAGGTGGGGGGTGCAGGTTTAAGGAAGAATGGGATTTAAAACTGGTAGCCCCATTCGGAGATTTTCAGCTTCTAACGACAAAGTGGGAAAGAACCTGGCGGAAGGAACGATCGATTTTGTTTTTCTTTAAGGATTGTGGTTAAAGAGACTGTTTTGACCAACTGCCCGTCTCATTCCACACTTCAGCTGCCAGTGATTTCAACAGGTTTGTTCTGCAGATTGTCTGTCTGTCTCCTTCTTTGAGCTTGGTAAAAGTCTCGCCTAGTGAGCAAGGGAGCAAGCAAAAGGGGATCTGGCAGGTGTTTGAGGGGATCGGGATGTGTATATCTTCCCCACTGCTCCCTCTGCTGGGTTAGGGAATCACTGAGCTATTTAACAGCTGGCAATCTGTCCTGCTGGCGCCCAGCCTTGTTCACATACGAGGTTTTGAAATGGACAAACTCAGCAGTATCTCTGGATCTCTCTATAAATTACTGTGTTTCATCTCTGCTTAGCCGAATAGTTTTGAAACTGTGTCAGCAGCCACTGGACGTCTTTGTTTTACCTGGTGGCGAGGAAAGGACAACTGAGGATTTGCTCGGCTGTATTGCTCGGGTCTCAAAATCATAAAATAAAAGGGAAGCTGTGTAAAAACGAATAATATTTGAGTTACGAGGAATGTGCAAAGTGCTGCACAAAGAGTATCGATTTTGCATTTGGAACTAGAGCAAACGTATCTGCGAGGCTTTTTATGTGATGTTCAGAAATATTGTATATTTTCAATAATAAACACGATTCTGGGTTGGTTTCTGTTGCTCAAGATGTTGCTTTAGATTGGGGAGGAAGAGGAAATGGGGCCTGGGTGTTAGTGAGAGGGTTTGATACCTAAGCACGGGAAATGCAAAACAACAAAACATCTTGGACAATGAGAACCCACTTGAAAAGAACATACCGCAAAAGGGCCCTTCAAAGGAACAAGAAATTCCTCCATTCTCAGAGTACTCTCCTTGCATCAGATCCCTGAAGAGCAGAGCCTAGATGACATCCCGTTGCTGTGCACAGTTCCTTTCATCACACTCAGTTTCAGTAGCGAAGAAGAAAGCAAGTTATAAAATATCCTCTCTCGCCCAAGAAAAAAGATCTCCCCCAGCATCTGGGTGACTTGTTCTGTTCAGGTGAGCGGCAACATAGCTGCCAGGGGTTTCGTGGAGGGAAGCTGCGTTTTTCCTTCTCGGGTTTGTGAGCTCCAAAGACTTCCCTGCCGCGTTCGGTCTCTAAGCCCACAGACCTCTCTGCTCTCTTCAAACTGGCATCTCCTCTGTAGCAAGCCAGACTCCTTTAACGTTCTAACATGTCGTGGGTAAAGGCTGGGACCGTTTTAGCCCATTAACATGGTCTGACTTGCCCACACCCTGAATGTTTAGATTCATTTCAGGGAATGAGCTGTGTGCGCCAAGAAGAAATTGTGCTGCTTCCTGGGAGTGTCTGATTGGAGAAAGTACTCGCCCACTTTGGGGGTGGTTAATTAGATCATATCCTTACAGTCCCTCCGAGGCTATAAAGCACAGAGGTGTGCAAGATATTTGCAAGAAAAAGCAAAACTATTCAAGGTCAATTCAGTTTTTGTCTCCTTCCAAACGCAGAAATGGTCCCATTTTCATGGGGAATTTCAATCAGGTATGTGGCTATTTCAAGCAGTCTGGCTTCCCACTGAATGGAGACCAGACAAACCCCTAACAGTTCAGCTGAAATAAGCACCCGAACGTACAGATGCTTGTCCAAACTCTCGGAACTTCCTGGGTCCGTAAAACCCACTTGGAAGTCTCCTGGGTGCTTCTTTCAGCTGAACCGCTAGAGGTTTGCCCAACAATTCTGAGTGTGTATTCATCAAAACCATCCATGTGGCCTTCAAAAGGGTTTAACATTTGGAGCCAAATATGGTCTCAGATGAGTGTAAATGCAACGTTTACCGTTACTAGCCCTAGTGTATTGTTACCAGTCACAGTAAACTTCTAGAACTACTCTCTTATTGTACAGTGCATGTATCAGTACATGCCTCTTTCTACAGCCCTTCCTCATGCTGGGCCAAATTAGCTGCAGGAGCAAATGGATGCAGGTCCATTGACTTCAACATCGTTTTGCCCACTTACACCAGCAGCATATTTGTCCCTCATAGTCAGACTTGTGTAATAATCCCACTGAGTCCAGTGGGACAGGTTGAATTACTAGCAGTAACGGCGACTCACCCTGAGTAAAGGCTGCGGAATCAGGTCCAATGTGTTGTAGCAGTTCCCATTCTGAGAGTGAGACCTGGTCCACACTAACCTCCCACTTCGAACTAAGGTACGCAAATTCAGCTATGTTAATAACGTAGCTGAATTCAAAGTACCTTAGTTCGAACTTACCGCGGGTCCAGACGCGGCAGGCAGGCTCCCCCGTCGATGCCACGTACTCCTCTCGCCGAGTTCGAGTACCGGCGTCGACGGCGAGCACTTCCGGGATTGATTTATCGCGTCTAGACAAGACACGATAAATCGATCCCAGAAGATCGATTGCCTGCCGCCGGACCCGGAAGTAAGTGTAGACCTGCCCTTACCTAGTTGATCTGATTCCCTGTGTCAAGATTATGACAGCACACAGTTGCCTTTCAAGGTTGTCTGCCGAGGGGGAAGCAGTTTGTGTCATTTCTCTGCAGGGGGGAGATCCCGAAAAGCCCGGCGCTGGTTTGTTTCTGTGGTGTGGCAGTGGAAGGAAACGATGGGCTTGCAGTCGAGAAAGGGTTTCTGAGTTTTCAGGTTGCTCTCTGGATGTGCCTGGGATGCAATCAGGCAGTGTGGTTGCTGCTCGCGTGGATGGACCCAAGCATAGGCGCCAACTTTCTCTGGCGCCAGTGGGGGCTCATGCCCCCCCTGGCCCTGCCCCTGCCCCACCCCCACCATTTCCCCGCCCCTGGCCTCACCCCCATTCCAACCCCTTCCCCAAAGTCCCCACCCCAACTCCGCCCCC